GGCATGAAGGGCGACGTCGAATTTTTTGTGCGTCGGTGCCTACATTGTGCCAGTGCATCTGGCGGTGCGCCGCGTCCGCTTGGCGAGGCCCTCCACTTGACCGCACCCAATGGGTTGATTCATTGGGACTTTTTGTTCATGGGCGCCTCCAAGACAGGCGACAAGTACCTGCTGGTAGTCAAGTGTGACGCCAGCAAGATGGTTTGGTTCTTCCCGGCTCCCGAGGCCACGGCGACGTTCTTCAAGGACTGCCTCCTGCAGTGGTTCACCGTGTGCTACGAATGGGTCGCCTACCTGGGGACCCATTTCAAGAACCAAGTTATCGCGGAGCTCCAGCACGTGCTGGGGGCTCATCATCACTTCACGACTGCCCGGTGCCCATGGGCGAATGCCACAGTGGAGGTCGTGATGCGGCAGTTGCTGCGTCTATTCCAGGCATGTCTGAGCGAGTGGCGCATGGCGCCCGACCAGTGGCCCGAGGCCCACCTAGTCATCATGCTCGTGCTCAACCAGCTGCCTTCACCATCCCTCGGCGGTATGGCCCCGTGACCGCCATGTCTGGCCGTCCGGCAATGTCGCCGGCTGACACTATGGCGTTGCCGGGTCAGCTCATCTCGGCCACGCTGGCCGAGGTGGAAGAAGGTCAACGCGAGAACATTGCCTCGGCTCAGATGGCTCTGGAAGAAATGCACAAGCAGATGTCGGTGGAAAACGCACGGAAGCGAGACCGCTCGCGGCAGTACCACGATAAGAAGAAGGGCGTGCAGATGGCCCAGTTCGTAGTGGGGGACTATGTCCTCTACCAGGACGTATGGGCACACTTGCGCCAGAAGTTGCGGACCAAGTGGTGCGGCCCGGCCGTCGTCACCGAGGTGACCAGCAACTGGGTGTACGACGTCGAGACCCTGCTGACTCACGACGTGCGCCCCGTCCACGCCAGCCGCCTGAAATTCTACGCGGACTGTGACTTGGACGTGACGTCCGAGCTGCTGGCCCACGTCGCCCACAACTCAGAGGGCTTCGAGGTGGAGGCTATGGTGGACGCGCGGTACATCCCCACGACCAACGTTTACGAGCTATTAATCAAGTGGCGCGGACTTCAAGACGTGGAAAACTCGTGGGATCCCGCCGACAACATCTTCGCCGATGTACCCGTGATGTTCAAGGCCTTCTGCAAGGCGGCCAAGTCCGCGTAATCAAGAAGATGGCCGTTGCTTACGAGGTTATAACTCGTGGGGGAAGTGATGTATTCGGCTCGAATTACTGAGACGGAAAGGAGTAGACCTGTGGCGCCTGCTCCTTGCCGTCCATTGGTCGGTACTTTTGGTGGTTGGAGTACCATATGGATTGGTAGAGTGTATTGACCCCTTTTTCGGGTCTGAGAGTTTAGGTAGTTTGAGTGGCTCGTTGTCACTCACTTCGCCTTTTACCTTTGAATATTCCAACGTTATGGTTTCGATCGGTTTTGAAGTAGTTGAGATACAACAACCAATAAGCCTTGATGTACTTCTGTTGGCTTATTGTCATGGTCTTGGCACTTCTGTTTCTTTGAACCTCCATTTTGAGGATATAATGGATGTTGCCCAAGTCTTTCATTTTGAACCGATTGCTCAATTCAATTTTGAGCTTGCTGATTTCTTCTGTTTTTGGTGACACTATAGTCAAATCATCGACATACACGACGATTATTATCCAATCATCAATCGTGCACGTGTCATTTATCAACTCATTCAACCCTCCCACTCTTTTCACATAGATGTAATACTCTTTGTCACATCGTGAAAAGCCAATTGTAGTAAGGAACTCATGGAGGACAGCATACCAAATCTTTGGTGCTTGTTTTAAGCCATATATGCTAATCAGTAGTTTGCACACCAAATGCTCACCTTTCATTCCTCTCTTTTGAAATCCAGGAGATTGGTGCATAAAAACCTCAGTCTCCAATTTCCCATTTAGGAACGCTGTAAGCACATCCATTTGATGAACTTCGCAATCTAAGACCGTTGCAACCGCAAGTACTAGCCTTAACGACTCAAACCGAGCCAAAGGAGCATATACCTCATCATAATCTAGTCCATACTGTTGAAACTGGCCGTTGGCAACAAGTCTCGTCTTATATCTTTCAATTTCACCGATGGATATGTACTTTACACTAAACACCCAATGACATGATAACGCAGTTTTTCCTTGGGGCAAACTAACTAAATCCCAGGTAGCATTATCCATCAATGAACCAAATTCTGAGTTCACTGCTCCCATCCAGTTTTCACACTGAGGTGTGAGTAGAGCTGCCTTGAGTGACCGAGGCACTACGATGGCCATGTTGACTCCGAGTAGGTCATGACGTTGACCCTTAATCTTGTGCATGTGGACTTGGTAACACTTATAGTCCTTCAAATGAACTGGAATCCTCTGTGTTCTCTTCGGTCGAGGTGTCAACAGTTCAACCTCTTGGCAATCCGGAATGTCAGAATTACAATCTACTTCGATATTTCCAGATAGCAACAGCAGACAGATGAGTAGTTGGAGGAGGAACCGGAAGTGAATTAATTCTGACGACAGAGGAGAAACTGGCTCTAGATGTGCCAGTTCCTCCAACAGCCAATCAAATCCTAGATTATCATTAGTCACGACATCCTGTGATGTTCCGTGACGAATCTGCGCTGTCTTCTACTCTGAGGAAAAGCCTCTAGAAGGGACAAAAACCTCCCACACAGCTAGCAGACACTGGTACCTGACTGACAGGGCAGTGGTGATGTTTTCTAGCAGAACAGGGTGTTCTGACTGCCTCCCAACAGCGCCACGCACTGTCAACCGGAATCAGGTGCCCAGAGTGCAGGAAGAGGCTGGTGGTTAAGCTCAGTGAGCTTAAGCACCACTGGTTACACCGTCTTTTGTCCGGGACTCAACTTGTCGGACATCCCTTTCAGCGTGTCCCTACCAATTGGCCCTTTCCGAACGACGCGCCGTGGAAGGGCCGGATGGATCGAGTAACCACCGGGATGCCGTCACCCCCCACTCTAGAACCAACATGGTCCAGGGCGTCCCCCTTACATGTCGGCGCAGTCATGGGCTGAGAGCTCGGAGTTCGCGCTCCCTGGCTCGCGCCGGAGGGTGCTGTCGGGCGGCAGCTACCTCACCCTTAGTTGACTGCGCAAGACGCAGAACGTTGTCACATCAAGTGGTTTGGTAAAGATATCCGCGACTTGACGTCACGTATCGGTATAAACAAGGCTAAATGTCTATTGTTCCACAAGGTCGTTGATGAAATGGTAGCGTACATCAATATGTTTGGTACGCCCGAGAGTTGTTCATGATCTGGATGGTGCTCTGATTGTCCTCATGAAGAGGAATCGATGTGGTGATGGGATGTCCCATCTCACCAACTGCCTGCTTGATGTACAGGCAATCTTGTGCAAGTGTGCACAGAATCATGAGTTCTGCCTCGGTAGTCGAGAGGGCCATACTCCGCAGCCCTTTACCGATCCAAGAGATCGCAGAGTTCCGGTAGAATGTCACGAAGCCCGCGACACAGCGTCGAGTATCAACACCGTTAGCGTAGTCACTGCCCGCATACGCATGGAGCGGAGTGATCGTACGCACCGCCGAGGACGAGACCGTAGTCGATCGTTCCTCTGATGTACCGGAGGGCGCACTTGGCTGCCTACCAGTGGGCATGGCCGGGGTTCGTGAGGAACTGGCTCAGTTATTGGACGACGTACGCGAGGTCGGGTCGAGTGCTAATTATGAGGTACATGATGCTGCCGACTACCGATCGGTAAGGCTTGTCCACCATAGACTGGCGTTCAGCATCGTTCTGAGGGCACATCAACTTAGACAGCTTAAGGTTGTACTCCATTGGAGTAGGGGCCGGTTTTGAATTCTCCATGCTGAACCTCTTCAGGATCGAGGTTGCATATTGGGATTGATGCATTGTGAGAGTTCGAGCAGAACGATCTCGAACAATGTGAAATCCGAGAATAAAAGTGAGAGCCCCAAGGTCGTGCATTTGAAAACGCGGTGACAGACCATGTTTGATGGTGCGCATCATATCCGGTGAAGGAGCCATGATGACTAGGTCGTAAACGTAGACGCCGATGTAAACGGCTTGACCGTCCATCTGCTTGGTGAAGACACAGCGGTCTTTGACGAGCTGGGTGTACCCTTGCCGGCGCAAGTAGGTAGCTAGTGTCTGGTACCACGAGAGAGGGGCTTGCTTGAGACCATAAACACTGCGGAGGTCTAGAAGGACATCGCGGCGATTCTTCGCGGTGTCAAATCCAGGTGGATGTTTGACGTATACCTCGCAGTCGATTTCCCCGTTGAGAAAGGCTGTGATAACATCCATCGCATCGATCTCGTAGTCGAGAGACGCGCCGAGAGTGAGCATCGTTCGAAGGATTTCTTTGGCAATGACCGGGGAGTAGCTCTCCTCGTTGTCCACGCCTTGAATTTGAGTGTGTCCTTGGATCACAAGTCGCGCTTTGTAGCGAGCGACGCGTCTCGTAGCCTCTGTGGCCGAGTCATCGTATTTGATTTTGAACACCCAACGCATGCCCATTGGTGTCGCATCTGGAGGCAAGGTGGCTGGTTCGAACGACCCGTTCGCCTCATGGGCTGCCAGCTCGAGCATCATGGTTTCAAGCCACTGCTCTTTGGCTGGCGATTTCATCGCCTGTTTGTAGGTCTTAGGCTCGTCTGAAGGAGTCGTGTCCTTGAGGGCGAGGAGGATGTGTTGCGACGTCGAGAAGTATTGAGCGCCTGAGGCGTCGTCAATATACGACATCAGCAACTGAGCTGGACCGTCGTGTGGACGTGTCCGCCGTGTCCAGTGTGGTAGACGTCGATGTGACGACGTACGACATGTGCTATCGCCGCTTCTTGAGACCGTGAGGGTCGAGGCGGAATTGCGAGCAACTGGATTGTCGTATGTGACGACGTTGGAGTGGAGGTGGTTGCCGTACTCACACATGCCGGAGTATGGCAGGCGGTACTTCTCGTGGAACGAGGTACATGGGACGGGAAAATATTCCTCCGTTGTGTTGAAGGTCAAAGTTCGACGACGCTTGGGCGTCGGAGTTGTGAACGACTGGTGGGATGGGTGGTGAAGGATGCCACCCAAACGGGCAGGTGGAGTGATGTCGGGTACGTCATGTACGACAGGGACTTGCCACACTGTGCCTGTTGACCCACGAAGCAAAGCCTCCCCAAGTGTGGGTAGAGGTGTGGTCGTATCGGCCTCCCCAAGTGAGGGCGACGTGAATGTCACGGCCTTCCGATATGTGGGCAGAGGCGTCGTCCATGAAAAGGCCTCCCCAAGCGAGGGTAGAGGTGGTGGTGTCGTGGACGACGCAGCCTCCCCAAGGGGTGAAGGCAGGCTTGGTTGGAGGGGTGGTGGACTTTGGTCCACGGTGAAACAGTTCCGCTGGGGATGTTTACTTCGAAGACGTTTCACGTCCTCGACTGATTTCAGGAGGGGAAACTGATGTTCAACGAACGTTACATCGCGGCTCGTAAGCACGTAATGCGTGTCGAGGTTCAGTAGCTTGAACCCTCGAGATGTCTCGGGTAAGCCAATGTACATGCACATCATGCCTCGGGGAGACAGCTTGTTCATACGCATAGGGATGTTGACGTATGCATACGCCACACAGCCAAATACGCGTAAACGTGCGTAGTCAGGATGGCTCTAGTGCCATTGACGATACGGAGTATCCTCACTGATGGTGGTGGACGGCAGTATGTTCATGAGTAACACTGCGTGGGAAATGGCTTCTCCCCACAAGAACTGTGGTAGATTACCATGCAGTAGCATGGAGCGAGCCGTGGTGACGATGATGCATTCGGCCACAGGGTTCTGGGTCGGGGTATAGGCATTCGTGTACGTAAGGTGGGTGTCGTATTCGCTTTGAATACGGGCCCCGAGTTTAACATACTCCTTAGCGTTGTCCATTTGGAGCGCTCGGATATCCTCGAACTCACTAGGTGGTGAGTGATGGTAACAAATCTCAATGACGTCGGAATGATAACGCTGCCGAGCGTCGCGACAGAACGCGCTGTACTTGTCGTACAGGTCCGCGCGCTTTTGCATGATGTACACAAAATGTATCGGGTAAAGCCGTCGATGAACGTGACGAAATATCGACCCCCAGAGATAGAGGGGATATTGATTGGACCCCACACGTCGGAGTGCACTCGTTCCAGAGGCTTCGACGACTTGGGCAATTTGTTGCGTGAAAAGGGAAGTACTTTAGACTTCGACCTTCAACATGTGTTGCACGAAGCATGGGCCGTGATGGCCTGCCGAGAGATAGGAAATTCAAACACGGTCGAATGACGCTGCAATTTGCGTAGCTTGTCATGACTTGGATGGCCCAGTCGATGGTGCACTCGACTGCGTCACGAGGACGGTCGATGTGGGGTCGGCGATGCGCGGTGAGAGCCGCGTCGCGATATACATCCTGCAGATAGATCACTAATGTGTCCTCGTTGATGCCAGCGACCTCGCGTCGGACTGTGCCACGGCCGATGACTTGAAGTTGGTAGCCGTCGGCTGAACCAGCAAAGGATGAGAAGGAACCATATGTGATGAACCACTCTCGATGGAAGGTGGAGTGCTTGGATGCACCACTATTGACCGTCCAGTGACGGGATCGCCTTTGTTCTTTGACAACCGGGCTGGTTGGTGACACACGAAGTGCCCATCCAATCGCGATACATTAGTATCGAGCGAGTCGTAGTACGGACTGAAGTTCTGTAATAATGTCGAAAGTACTTTGAATGTGCTTGACTGGTCGGTCGACTTTTGTAGTCCCGTGAATGAAACATGTAAATGTTGTTCATCTAAAATATGTCGAGGCATAAATGCCGGCATGTGTGCGTGAAGACATAAATAAGAAGTCTGGTCACGTTGTTGACGTGTGTTTTGAGACACTAACGTTCGGGTAGAACCGCGTGACGCGCTGCTGCTTTGGCTGCGCTGGGGGGTGGATGCCGGTGGGTCGTAGGCTTGGTCGGCTGGCAGCGCGCTGTGGCTGCGACTACGATGGCGCCGGTTGTCGTACATGGAGTGACTGCGGCTGCGGTAGTGCCGGTCATCTTGGTTGGCGCGGCTTTCGGCGCGATAAGTTCCGCGGTCGTCGCGATAGTGCCCGCGGTCTTCGCGGTAGTCGCGGTACCGGTCGCCGGAGCGACTACGATAGCGGTAGACCGACTGACGAAACGGGATACGGCCGCGTTGATCGTCGCAATAATCGCCGTGATTGAAACGGCGTAGCCGGAGTGGCCGCCTTGTCCCATGCTGGCGTAGCCTGGTGGACGGCTTGTTGCGTGTCCGGGTGGGCCGCTGGATGCGTAGCCTTGGCGAATGGTGTTGAGGAAGGGTGTCCCGGTTCCTCCACCACTCCCGTCGCCTTTGCCGTGGGGTTTGCCACCGCGGTGGCCGCTGGGTCCGCCTTGAGTTCGTCGACCGCCACCACTTGGGGGTAGTTCGCCAGATGGGATGGCAGCCCATCCTGGTGGGAACACAAAGTCTTGACGCACCGCGTTCTGGTGGAACGCCCGGGAAACCTTCTTACAGGTGTACGTCGAGTGGCTGCCTGAGGACAGACAGTAACCACACCAATCCGCCATGGGATCTTGGCCTTGGGCCCCCAGGGTGCGGCGGCCGCTTGTCCGTAGTCGTCCCGCTGGCTCACGCCAACGCGAAAGGCCGGAAGGGCCAATGCGCTAGATCGCGTTGTCGCGGTCGCGGGGAGGATAAAATATTGCCACATAAGAATTGCTGAGGACCACATAGGAATTGCTGAGAGCCACATAAGAATTGCTGAATCGCACACAGTTATTGCTGAAGAACACTTGAAATTTGCTGAATTGAATATAGAGTATGTTACACAACGAGATCCTCTTCGGCAGGCAGTGCGTTTTGAGAATTTCTGGACACATGTGACTATTATCAATGTGATTGTTTATTAAACTCACATGTGGACTCACATGTGGAGGAAGGGTGGGGAAATCACGAAAAACCGAAACCTTATCGACGGCCCTATGACCAACCACTGATTGATGGCATAAAGCGGACGCGAATCAGGATGTAGTGAACTGTACTGCATGCTACCAGACTCCCACGGCAACTTTGCCGGCTTGTGGCGTAGACTGACACACCTAGCCTTCGCCAAAAGCCGCCAAAGTTCCACATATATCGTGCTTCGTGCTGCTTCTGTAAAAGACATATTCTATAGTCGTGATTTATGTACTGCCTAGATATAGAAAGAACCTTGC